GCAGTAGCCTCAATGCCCGGGTCAGGCGGTACACAATCGTAACAGGCACCCTCAACACTATCAGCAACAGCATACATGGCAGCAAGAATAGCATCAAAGCCAAGATCAAAGATAGCAACCCCGGCCTTAGCCAGATCTCCCCAGCGAGGGATCTCTGACGCCTCAGGGAACTGGCGACGCCACGCGTCCGTCAGGCGACCAAAGCAGTGCTGGGTGGAGTGCGGACCCCCGCACTGCTCACCAGTGCGGTCGCCGGTACGGAGAACGTAAGAGCAGGGACCAAAACCCCCACCGCGCTGGCGTGCAGTGTACCACTCACGAAGCTGCTGAGGGGACAGGGTCACATCACTCCGCTGCTGCTGCTGGCGCTGACCACCACCGGCGCCACTCCTCGACGCAGAGTCGCGACTCGCTCCACCACCGCCGCCTCCGCCACCTCCTCCACCTCCGCCTCCTCCACTACCTCCGCCGCCTCCGCTCCCTCCGCCACCTCCACCGCCTCCGCCGCCTCCACTGCTGCCGCCGCCGCCGCCACCCCCAGCACCACTCCCACCACCACCCCCACTCCCTCCACCGCCTCCACCACTACCTCCACCGCCCTCTCCACCTCCTCCAGTGCCCTTGCCCCCCTTGCCCTTGCCGGTGCGGCGTCTCCCGCTCGGGGCAGACGCAGCGCCGACCGACTCGAAACCAACGAGGTCGGCCGCAGCAGCAGAGGCGACAGAGGGCAAGAGGGGGGAGGGAGAACACCCCTCAAAGACGGGGGTGCGAGGGTCACCACGAGAGGCTCCTAAAGCGACTATGCTCTTCTCTATCGCTAGAAGGGCCTTCTCGAGGAGGTCAACGGTGAGAGTGGTGGGGCAAACAGAGAGGAAGTGGTCCCTGACTACACAGAGAGAGTCAGGGAGACGGGTGACTATGTAGTAGAGGGTGATGTACATGGGGGGGGGGGTTCTTGGCGCAGAACTCAGCAGGAAGCGCAGCGCGGTAGCAAGTGTCACTAGTGCGGAGGTGCGTAATGAGGTCAGCAACAGAGGTAAAGGCAGCAAGGTCAGGGAAGAGGTACGGTAGCATGAGGCGGCTCAGTGCAGCAGTGGCAGGGGAAGAGTAGCGTGCAACTACAGCGTCGTACAAGGTCTGAGCACTCTTGTACTGGCTAAAGTGTGCACGCTCAGTGGTCGGTAAGTGGCGGCGCACAGCAAGGCGAGCAGCAGCGTCACGTGTGGCCTACTGTGAGCAAACAGTGGCGTCAGCATCAGCAGCAGGGGCAGGGGAGGCACCAGAAGTGAGGTCAAACAGGGAGAGGCCGTCTGCCCTATCGCACTGCAGGAAAAGCTGCAGATCATCTACCCAGACCTCAAAGTCCACTGCCCGACCCTCAGTGTCAAAGGTGAGAACGCTAGGGGAAGCCATAATAGCAGGAGGCAGGGCAGTGCAGTGGCAGAGACTGTGCTCTTACCAGGTAGGTGGAGCGATCGGGCTGCTCGACGGCTCGGCTGTCGGGCGACTCGGCTGCAGGGCGGCTCGGCTGCTGGGCGGCTCGGCTGCTGGGCGGCTCGGTTGCTGGTGCTGGGCGGCTCGGCTGTCGAGCGGCTCGGCTGCTGGGCGGCTCGGCTGCTGGGCGGCTCGGCTGCACGGTGCTGGGCGGCTCGGCTGTCGGGCGGCTCGGCTGCTGGGCGGCTCGGGAGGTCGGGCGGCTCAAGTGGCCGGCGGTTCGGCTGCTCGGCGTTGCGGGCGCTGGGAGGCGGGGTCGCAGGTGGTGGCGAGGTTGCAGGTGGCGGCGGGCCGCAAGGGTGGGCGGGGCTGCGGTGGCGACGGGGCCGAAGTGGGGCCTAAGTGGGGCCGTAGAGGGGCCGACGGGGCCGAAGTGGGGCCGTAGCGGGGCCGCAGCGGGGCCTAAGCGGGGCCGAAGCGGGGCCGTAGCGGGGCCTAAGCGAGGCCGTAGCGGGGCCGTAGCGGGGCCGTAGCGGGGTCGACGGGGCCGTAGCGAGGCCGTAGCGGGGCCTAAACGGGGTCGACGGGGCCGTAGCGGGGCCGTAGCGGGGCCGTAGCGGGGCCGACGGGGCCGAAGCGGGGCCGTAGCGGGGCCTAACCGAGGCCGTAGCGGGGCCGTAGCGGGGCCGACGGGGCCGTAGCGGGGCCTAAGCGGGGCCGTAGCGGGGCCGACGGGGCCTAAGCGGGGCCGTAGCGGGGTCGACGGGGCCGACGGGGCCGTAGCGGGGCCGTAGTGGGGCCGTAGCGGGGCCGTAGCGGGGCCGACGGGGCCGTAGCGGGGCCGTAGCGGGGCCGTAGCGGGGCTGTAGCGGGGCCGACGGGGCCTAAGCGGGGCCGTAGCGGGGCCGACGGGGCCGTAGCGGGGCCGTAGCGGCCTAAGTGAGGCCGTAGAGGGCGGCTTGAGTGGCAGTAAGGGCGGCCAATAGGGGCCACTAAGGCGGCTCGAGGCGCTACTCGGGTTAGGAGCTAAGCGCGCTCCGGGCAGGGAAGGAAAAAAAAAGTTCGTGGTGGGCCCTAGGCAGGGTTCCCACTCGGGAACCTGCTCTGATACCATGACGAGAAGTGAGAATGGAATGGATGAACTATACTAACCCTAATTGGGTTGTACCCTTTATGGGCTACCCCACTACAGCCTACACAAATGTATATGCTATAATGTTCTGACATGTACCGACTCACGAAGGGTACCAACTACATCCTGCTGATCGTCTACGTAGACGACCTACTCTACATCGGCTCCACTGATGACATCACCACCTGGTTCGAAGGGGAGTTACAAAGGGACCTCACACTCACGGTCTCCTCTACCGTCACACAGTACCTCGGCTTGAACATTCGAGAGGAAGAAGACGCGATCTACCTCAACGCCACTAAGTACGCCGACACCATCGCCAAACGCTTCGCGCTCACGCCTACCACCATCTCTACGCCCTACCGCTATGCGACAGGAAACCACGAGGAAGGATCTACTCTACTCAAATCCGCCGGGATACGCGACTACCAGAGAAAGCTAGGATGCCTTCTCTTCGCAGCTGTTACCTGCCGCCCCGACCTCTCATACTCTGCAAGCCAGCTCGCCACTCATCTCAAGAGGCCTGAAGCAAAACACATGGCCGGACTCGACCGTGCTCTACACTATCTCGTCAGTACGCCAACGATCGGCTTAACATATCACAAGAACGCGACCACGCCACCTAAGCTAATTGGTTACGTCGACGCAGATCATGCGGGCGACTCCGACAACAGACGATCACGCACCGGCTACATCTATCGCTTCGAGCCTATCGGGCCTATCTCCTGGCAATCGAGCAAGTAGGAACTAATTGCTCTCTCGTCAGCTGAAGCAGAATATATTGCACTCTGCTCAGCCACCAAGGAAGGACTCTATCTTCGCGAGCTGCTGGAAGAAGCGAAGTTAGCCGAGTTACCCAACTTTACCCTGTTCTTCGACAACCAGTCGACAATTCGCATCGCCAACAAGAACGGTTTTGCGAACAGGACGAAACACATCGCCCTGCGATACTTCTTCGTGAAGGACGAGATCGAGAAGGGAAGGCTCGAGCTGTCATACTGCCCCACGTCCGAAATGGCAGCTGACTACCTGACCAAGAAGCTCGGAAAGCAGAAATTCGAATATTGCATGCTGCTGACTGGACAGAGCCACGTCAGCGACACTCCAGAAGCGAAGGGGAGTGTTGGAAACAATCGGTCCTAAGCGCCTCTGTCGTGTCGAAACACTAAGGCACAAGCGAAGCGAAGCATACCGAAGCACCGGCGAGTCAACCCTCGGAGGTTGAAGCAACCGCTGGAGGTTACTCGAAAGTCAAAGGTCAGCGACCTTTGACCTGACAAGTACAGCGCGACAGCAAGGACACACAACTGACTCGCTACAGAGCAGTTGCCCGAGTCGTCACTGTATCGAACCGCAACAGCAACATTAAAAGTAGTTACAACTGTATCTCTTCACATTCCTTGTACTCTTATATATTCTTGTATCTCTTTGCTTCAATCAACTTACTTTGCCCTCACATACTAGCGCAAGGTGGTTTAGAATCCCTTTATTAAAACGCTTCCGCTACTACATCACTCTACCCAGAGATTAACCCTACCAAAGATCCTAAGGGGCACTCAGCCCAACACAAACCACATTTATATACAAATTGCAGTTCTCACTTGAGCTGTTGAAGCTCATAATCAATCTTCTCCTTCTCCTTGAATCGACATCTCCTTCCACACACGATGCTGGGCTCGACTGAGTCGATTCAGAAGTGCACAAAGAAACCACCTGGCACATCACAGCCACATCACAGCCCCATCTCCTGCTTCAGCTTCAGCAGCTCATCATCTCCTTCTCCTTCTCTTTCTTTATCCTCTCCTCCCACCCGCTCTGCTGCGCTCTATTCACCGATGAGCCAGACGAGTAGGAGGAGGACCCGTACCCACTGCTGCCACTGCCACTGCTGCTCCTATACCCACTGCTGCCGCTGCCGCTGCTGCTCTGGCTGCTGCTGCCTCTGCTGCTCGTGCTAGCACTGCCGCCGCTGGTGCTGCTGCTGCTTCCGCTGTTCCCGCCCCTGCTGCTGCCACTGTTGCTGGTGTTGCTGTTGCTGGTGCTGCTGCTGCTGCTGCTGCTGCTGCTGCTGCTGCTGCTGCTGCTGCTGCTGCTGCTGCTGCTGCTGCTGCTGCTGCTGCTGCTGCTGCTGCTGCTGCTGCTGCTGCTGCTGCTGCTGCTGCTGCTGCTGGTGCTGCTGCTGCTGCTGCTGGGGCACGAGCCCGTTTTGTTTCTCTTTCAATTGGTTCACTCTGTGCACACGGGGACAGCTGCAAGTGCCACGGGTTTACCGGGCTAGTGGGAAGGTTTGGGGAAAAGGTGGGACCAAACTTGGGACCAAAGGTGTTTGTTTTAGAAAAATGAATGCGCTTCTATTCAAGTGCTTGAATGGGCTGGAAATCGTCCCCTCTTCTCCTTCCCCCTTCCCCACATTGCGAGGAAGTGAGCGTTTCAATCAAAAGCCTGAACGACGGACGGGGTCCGGTGGGGTGGAACGGTTTGAGTTGGAGTGCCTATAAAAAGGCCTTCTCTCCTTCTCCTTCCCCCTTCCCCACATTGCCAGGAAGTCTGGATGTGGGGCGGGTTCAGGTAAGGGGGGAGTGTGGGGGTGGGAGGGAGGGGGAGAGGCAAAAAAATGGTTGGGGGAGGGAGAGGGGGGTAGCACACCCTTCCGTCCCAGCATGCCCCTGTTAGAGGGATCCGCGAATCTCCCACCAACCACACCCCAGCCGTCCCAACCACTCACCCTGACAGCTGCTGTCGCTGCTGCCCCAGCCACTCCTCGCCCCCATCCCTGTGAAGGGAGAGGGCTCGACCTTCAGTCCCAACATGCCCCTCTTAGAGGGGCGTTGAGAGCAACACTTCAGCCTCATCACACCGATCACTCACCCTTGCAGCTGCTGTCGCTGCTTCCCCACCCACTCGCCCATTCCTGTGAAGGGGGACGGTTCGACCTTGACGCCCAGCATGCCCTGCTTGGAGGGGTCCACCACGAGAAACACATTGCCCATGAAGGCCGGCCCACTGCCCACCCGCTGCTGCTGGTCCGTGGGGAGGAGGGATGGGAGCGGTGGCATGGGCATGGGGGAAGGGCGCGGGCGGGGTGGAGAGGAGGGTGGGGGGGAAGAGGAGGAGGGTGGGGGGGAAGAGGAGGAGGGTGGGGGGGAAGAGGAGGAGGAGGAGGAGGACGACGAGGAAAGAGAGGAAGAGGAGGAAGAAAGAGAGGAAGAGAGTGGGGCGGACAGCCGCAGTGTAAACCCCTCTTGAATCTCCTGAATCTGCCAACTGGCCCCTGAATCTCCTCCCACCCCCACTCCCATTCCTTGCAGCACGACCTTAGCAGCACTACCACACCTGTGTGCTGCTGCGGGCAGCTTTTCGGGCACCTTGAAACTTTCAAACCGACTTAGAATTCCTCGCTGCACGACCGGTGCAGCAGTATCGCCGCCAGCAGCCGCTGGTGCAGGCAGCAGTGCATTCGACCAGAGCAGGCGAGCAGGCTCGGAAGGCTGGATCAGGTTCGGTGAATGTGTGTGGATCAGGGGTTTGCACGGTCGGGGTTTCACATCGCCTAGCCATTTCGCCGTTTTCGCCAGCGGCTGTCGCGAGGCCAGAGCGATCCCACCCACCAATCCTGGAAACGCGAGCAGCCCTGAACGAGCTAACGGTCCAGCTAGTAACGCGTCTGGTTGACCCAGCGGCCGTTGCCATCCCCATGTACGGTGATGCAGTCGAGAAAAAATGCGTTGTGAACCGTCGGATTGAGATATCACACTGAGATGCTGAACAGCATACAGCCAAATTGGAATCTGTGGTAACAAGACCACGAAATCGACTCACAGCAGAAATCTTAGGGCGTGTTTGCTGTGCCAGTATTTGCTCATGTGATAGCTGGTAACAGATGGTAACAGAGGCTACTAGTTCGACATGATTTCTGTTATAAATTTTACGATACTCTCTACGGACGTGTATTCGTGCCAGTGGTCTAGTGGTAGAATAGCACCATTTTCAGCCACTTCTCTCAGCTCCTGGGCCCCGAGTACTGGAATCCCACCTCTGAACAGTCCACATCGGCCCGCCTCCTAGCCTCACTCCCTATCCGCTTAGGTGGCTTCGGCATTCGCAGCTCTGCATCCATCGCCCCCCTCAGTTACCTTTGCAGCTGGGCGCAGGCAGTTTCGACCCTATCCACCCACTTCATCACTGATGGTGCTCCTCTTTTCCGCCCTTACGTCACCACGAACTCTATTAACCTCCTCGACCCTTCAATCTCATCTACCATGACCATGCTTCCCCAAGACATTCGTGATCGCTTCCCATCATGGCCTGTGCTTCAATCGGGCTACCCTCCTAAACTCTTTACTCACCTCTCCCAACACCTCGAAGCCGATTTGCTGGAGAAGGTTCGAGCCACAGTAACGTCCCCGCTTCGCCTTGCTCGTCAAACTCTTTGCAGGGCCCGCATGCGTGACTGACTCACTGTGGCTCTATCCTCCCTGCACATGCAGCTTTCATGCAACTCCCCGTTCACTGATCCTTCCATCCATTCTCATGTCCTTCGCTGCCCTAGCAACAACGAGCCTACAAAGGTGCACGGCGCAATCAAACGAGAAGTTCATTGCATTGCCTTGGAGCTTGGGTTCTCTGCGCAGATAGAAGACCAGCATCTCCTGCCTGGCCGCCGCACAGACATCACATGCCGCGACATTAGCTCTGGTACCACCTGGGCCTTAGATGTTTCTGTTGCTGTTCCACAAAAGGGGTTTCCGCACTCCAACGCAGCTACGGTGATTGGTTCAGCAGCAGCCACTCGTGAAAGTGAGAAGACAACCCACTATGCTGCAACACTTCATGACCGTCCGGACGTCAAACTGTTTCCCCTTGTCATCGAAACCTTCGGTTGCTTCGGCTCATCGTTCAACAACTTCCTTCGCCAATGCAGCCAAAAAGGGGCTACACAACTCCGCGACTTGAGTGGTGCTACAGATTCTCTTCCCCTGCTGTTTGAGACCAACTTCTACAAACGGATTTCTCTGGTCCAGAGCAGGCTCGCACTGTTTCTCGTCGTGCACAAATTCGTTTTACCGAGGGCGTCAACCACGCACCACCCGAGGTGACTTCTCTTTCTACAGCTGAATTTGCCTACTTTGGAGAGGACTACTGAAACATCTCAGAGGCCTATTTGGGCGGCGGGGAGGGGCGCAGTGCGGTAGGGGAAGAGACGGTAATAAGGTACCTACTCGTCAAAGGTGACGTCCTGGGAGGACAGAACACGGCGCGAGGTGGGGTGGTAAAACTGCCACCCAGGCGCGTCAGGGGGAAGCCAAGGAAGACGCAGGGAACAGCACGGGGGGACAGCCCCGAGATCCCCAGACCCGAAACGCAGACGCATCGCCAACCTTCTCGGTCCACCGTAAGGCGGGGGAGGTCTCTGGCAAGGAGACCCGGGGCTGAAGGTTGAGCTGATGCGCGGCGTACTGAACCGCAAACGGCCACAGAAAATGGGGGGCAACTGCATGCATCATGGACGTACGAGCGACGTCCATGACCATGCCAATGCGGCGCTCAGCAATCCCATTTTGCTGTGGAGAGGCCGGAAGCGTGAAGGTCTGGCGGATGCACTGTGCACGACAGAAGGCTCCCAGACGGGCAGAGGAAAACTCCCCGCCTCTGTCCGAGTGCAGACGCAGAACAGGAAAGTCCGAGCCGAAACTCTCTCTGAGCTGGAGACGAGCTGCGCGGATCCAGTCGATCAACACCTCAGTGACGTCACCCTTGCTGCGCAAGGGGAAGACTGTGGTGTAACGCGAGTAGTCATCAACCACCAACAGGAAGTAACGCTCCTGCCCCTGTCCACGGACGCGGGCGGGGCCCCACACGTCCATGTGGAGGGTCTGAAGCGGAGCCTCTGTCGGAGGAAACTCGGAGGACTGAGGGGCGGTGCGCTGTCGCCCCTCGACGCAGCGGACGCAGGTAGGGCCAGGCCCCGGAGGTAGGGGAGGGAGAGATCGAGGGAGACCAGAGACAAGGACACGGGAGGCCATGCCTCGGAGACGAGGCAGGGAGGGGTGACCAAGGCGGTGGTGCCAGAGGAGAGTCTGGTGAGTCAGGAGACGACACGAGCAGGGAGCAGACTCAGGACCAGACCTGGACGCTGCAACAAACACCTGACTCGACGCAGCTACCTGGCCAGACTCAGCAGCCGGAGGGGACTCAGTAGTAAGGGTGTACAGGCTCGACCCTGGCCGACGAGTGAACGTGGCCAAGTGTCGGCCTGTCCGAGCACACGTGCACTGGGTCACTCGCTGACTCGCAGGAGTGAACTGGTCAACCCCCCTATCCTGTAGGTCCGCTCCACTCACCAAGCTCGTAGAGAACGAGGGGAGGTAGAGACCTGACAGGGTGCCAGAGGGGGCTGCCGGGCACGGTAAGACAGTGGAGAAATTAGCAAGGACAGGACCCCCAGAGGGGTCTGCCAGGGAGACTGCAACCGGCCGACTGAGCGGCGTAAGAGTGGTGCGGTCTCCAAAGAAGGAGCGGGACGCACCCGAGTCAAGGGTGAAGGTGTGGAAGGCCTGAGCCGACGTAGTACCTGAGAGAGCAGACTCACCAGCACTTGGGGCAGCAGACGCACTGGCACCTGGGACAGCAGACGCACTGGCACCTGGGGCAGCAGACGCACTAGCACCTAGAGCAGCAGCCTCACCAGCACCTAGAGCAGTGGCCTCAATGCCCGGGTCAGGCGGTACACACAGGTAACAGTCACCCTCAACACTAGTAGTCACAGAATACATGGCAGCAAGGACAGCATCATAGTCAAGATCAAAGACGGCAACCCCCGCCCTAGACAGATCTCCCCAGCGAGGGATCTCTGACGCCTTAGAGAACTGGCAACACCAGGCGTCCGTCAGGCGACCGAAGCAGCGCTGGTTGGAGTGCGGGCCCCCGCACTGCTCACCAGCTCGGTCACCGATACGGAGGACGTAAGTGCAGGGACCAAAACCCCTACCGCGCTGGCGCGTAGTGTACCACTCAGGAAGCTGCTGAGGGGACAGGGTCACACCACTCCGCTGCTGCTGGCGCGGACCACCACCTGAGCCACTCCTCTGCGCAGAGTCGCGACCCGCTCCACCACCGCCGCCGCCTCTGCCGCCTCCTCCACCTCCGCCTCCTCCGCCACCTCCGCCGCCTCCGCTCCCTCCGCCACCACCGCCGCCTCCGCCGCCTCCACTGCTGCCGCCGCCGCCGCCACCCCCGGCACCACTCCCACCACCTCTCCCTCCACTGCCTCCACCACCACCTCCACCGCCCCCGCCAGCCCCTCCAGCGCCCTTGCCCCCCTTGCCCTTGCCGGTGCGGCGTCTCCCGCTCGGGGCAGACGTAGCGCCGACCGACTCGAAACCAACGAGGTCGGCCGCAGCAGCAGAGGCAACAGAGGGCAAGAGGGGGGAGGGAGAACACCCCTCAAAGATGGGGGTGCGAGGGTCACCACGAGAGGCTCCTACAGCGACTATACTCTTCTCCGCTGCTAGGAGGGCCTTCTTGAGGAGGTCAACGATGAGAGTGGTGGGGCAAACAGAGAGGAAGTGGTCCCTGACTACGCGGAGAGAGTCAGGGAGCCGGGTGACTATGTAGTAGAGGGTGATGTACATGGGGGGGGGGGGGGGGGGGTTCTTGGCGCAGAACTCAGCAGGAAGCGCAGCGCGGTAGCGAGTGTCACTAGTGCGGAGGGGCGTAATGAGGTCAGCGACTGTGGGAAAGGCAGCAAGGTCAGGGAAGAGGTACGGTAGCATGAGGCGGCTCAGTGCAGCAGTGGCAGGGGAAGAGTAGCGTGCAACTACAGCGTCGTACAAGGTCTGAGCACTCTTGTACTGGCTAAAGTGTGCACGCTCAGTGGTCGGTAAGTGGCGGCGCACAGCAAGGCAAGCAGCAGCATCACGCGTGGCCCATTGTGAGCGAACAGTGGCGTCAGCATCAGCAGCAGGGGCAGGAGAGGCACTAGAAGTGAGGT